GGGTGTGGGTGTGGGTGTGAGTGTGGGTGTGGGTGTGGGTGTGGGTGGGTGTGAGTGAGGGGTGTGGGTGGGTGTGGTTGTGGGTGTGGGTGTGGGTGTGGGTGTGTGGGGTGGGTTCGGGTGTGAGCGTGGGTGTGGGTTGTGGGTATGGAGCGTGTTCGGAGCAGAGAAACACCCGCGCCCCACACCCACCCAGGGCTCTCGATTGTTTTTAAGAGTGGCGGTGGCTAATAATTTTTCGCAGACAGTACTCATAAATGCTTCCCAATTTTCCCAAAAGTCAGAAGTGAAGACCAAAAGAAAAGCCGTCTTCATCTAGGTTTTCTAGGCGCACTGGAATACCTTTGCGACAGCCAGTCCCTTTCAATCCGAACTCTAAGCGCTACTAAAAATTTCACAGACAAATAGCAAAATTTTCGCAGACACGCTAAAACAGTGCCGAGGGCTAGCCCTCGGCATCCCCCTGCACATGGAGGGGCCTGCAGCCACCCACACCCACCCCCTTCATGAGACTTCATTAGACTTCACGAGACTTCATGAGACTTCAATGACTTCAAGGGACTTTATGAGACTTCAGGGACTTCAAGAGACTTTATGAGAATTCATAAGACTTCAAGAGACTTCAGAATACTTCAAAAGACTTTCAAGGCTTCACGGCTGAAGTCTCTGTTGTTTCCCCCTTGGTACCATCACTATGGTACTTTGTATCATTACTATGGTACTTCGTAGCATAAGCATGGCCAGTTGTACCGTCACTATGGTACTTTGTACCACGAAAGTGGTCTTTTGAACCATCACTATGGTACTTCGTACCACAAAAATGGTCACTCGTACTATCACTATGGTACTGTGTAGCATAAGAATGGTCACTTGCACCCTAACTATGGTACTTTGCACCGTAACTATGTTACTTTGTACCATCACTATGGTACTTCGTAGCATAAGCATGGCCACTTGCACCGTAACTATGGTACTTTGTACCATGAAAGTGGTCATTTGTTCCAAGTGTTACAGACAGACAGACAGACAGACAGACAGATAGACAGACTGACACAGGTGAATTTCGGTTGCTAGACCCTAGCCTTTCAGTCTAGGGAAAAGCTCACCAAAAGTTTTCTGATTCAATTTAAACCGATAATTCTTAATATAAGCAATACTTTATTAAATAAAAATAGTTCGATACATCGATATATGAAAAGAAGAAAAATGGAAAAAATTACGCATTCAAGGAAGGTAGTTTGGGATATAAAAGTAAGAATAGTTTGTTTAAATAGATATGCAAGAATTACTCAGCGAGTAAACTATGTATGTGATAGTTTCTCACTAGAAGAGTCACCAAATAATGACCGCTTGCCTGATGCATATGCACTTAAAAGCAATGCAAACATTACAAGAATATGTGCTGTTTGATATAAATTTGCTGAGTAACCATTATAATAAATTGTTTTTGAACCTTCAGCTAATGCTGCTAACATTGTTATAGTTCCAACAAATAGAAAAAATGGTCCTACTGTTAGATGTATATCCCAATAATATCTATCTTTAATTTTTAATGAATCATCGACTGTTGCAATGGCAACCATATAAGTTCCGATTGTACCAAAGAAAACAAATAGAATACCAACAATACCTAAGCCAGAAGCTTGTCTCAAATGAATGTAAGAATCAGTTGAATATTTTGAATTCGTACAACTTGTACTAGTTGCAGCACAATAATAATAAAAATTGGTAGTAGTAGATACTACTGTATTATTGGGTGCATCAGTATATGTAACTTGCCATCTAGGTGTACCAATACCGATGCAAGCAAGAATGAGTGCAATTCCACAAATAGTAACGGCGATATATGCAGGTAACTTAATATCTCTTGGATCAATAGTCATTTCTATTTTGATAAGAAGTCTACAAAAGTAAAAAAACATTTAGAGTATTTATGACGAGGACTGAAGAGTTCATTTTACTGAAGGTCCTATAGGAAGGAAAATTTTTACTTTAGAAATCAACAGCTTCAAGGTGTGGAACAAGTGCGTGAGATCCTATATTAATTATACGTACATATACACCCATTACAAATATGAGTATTTCTAAGGCTCTTCAAAATTTTCCAAGTAGATTTTTGCATTTCGTATTGCAAAAAAGTGGCTCAAGAACTTTTTAATTTATAGATTTTTCTAGAGCTCAATAAGCTCTAATGAACCATGTAAAACTATCGAAGGAAAATGCTTTAATCCGTTGATGATTTAATGGTACTTTTTCTATCTCGAAAAATGTATAAAATTTCAAGAAATTTCTTGAATTTGGCATTAAAAAGTTTGTAACATTCACTATGCAGTAACAATAAACCTCATTTCGGAAGATCTTTTATGTAACATAAAGCCCACAATGTTCTCTACTTGAAAGTGTAGCAGTACTTTCTGGAATAATATTATTTCCTACGCTGTGAATCAAATGCGTCTTCTTGAGTAAAACAATCATCCCTTCTATGAAGGCTACTCAGGTGACGCCATCATTGTTTTCATGTGTTTCTCAATGTATATTTCTCATTCAAGCTATCTTCAATAGGACAACAGGTGGTGAAAGAGTTCTTTCAATAAAAGTGCAGTAATAGTGAAAAACACAATTGTGATAGAAAAGTTTGGGATTCGCTAGAGTTTAAAGTTGGTCTTTATAATATACTTATATGTTTTCTTTAACAGAAACGCAGAAAATATCTCAATCATATGATAGTTTTTGCTTCACTACTAAACTCTGAATATCTTGCATAAATTTTTAGTGTTGGGAATATTGAGACATGAAAATGTTATTTAATTCATTTGAAAAATGTCTTCATAAAAATTTTTTATTAAATGTAATTCTTCTCCCTATGTTTTTTCCAAAAGATTGAAACATGAAACGATTGTGTCAATTAAATCCAGATTCTTTTCCTGAGCGGAATTTAGAGAAAAAGCGGTTTTATTACGACGCTTAAGAAAAATAAAAGAGTTCTATACTATTTTTGTCCTCATCCTATATTTTTTGTTACTATTTATTGAGTGCAATTCAATCTCGACTACAACATGGTACAATCTAGCGGAATTCAGCTAGTTGGTGTTTTTTTTTATCGGAAACTATATGAAAACCATGCAAAGTCTTCTAATCACTATACATTGACATCTTATTTACATATATAAGTTCAATCATTCCACTATATTGTTTCTATCTCTTCAAGCTCGAATATTCTACAGAAAAAGTTGCGTATTCAAATCTTTACATTCACGCAACTACATAGATAAATGTTATTGTGTAAATAAAGAACAGCATGGGTAAACAGTCTGCAGGGAATACTACGCGTTTCTACATACTAGATAAGAATCAGGTACCTAATCGACCTATTTTTTATCCTGAATGCCTGCACTCCACTATTAATTTCATTAGCGAAGAGTCACATCTTACTTGATAGCTGTAAACATGATAAAAATCTGCATATAGGAACATAGAGTGAACAAAAAATATTTGGATTTGCTTTGTTGTTCTAGCTAACCTATTTCGAGAAATTATTCGTTTTTACGAAATTTACTTCAATTTCGGCAAACTCTCTTAAACTCTTTGGTTAGGAAGGAGAAACAACTCAAATCCAAAAACAAGCAAAACCTACCTTGATTGCTTAACTCCTCCCCTACGGAAAATTTTGATGACACTATAAAATTACAGAATTTCTCATATAATGTCATTTCGAGTGAAAAAAATCAAATCCAATGAATTCCTATGTTTCCGCAGCATGACAATAACTTTACGTATAAACCAATATCAAGCGTTATACCAATACCAGGAATACGAAGTCTTATTTGTATCAGTAGTGCTACTTCTCTTGCATCCGTATATGGTAATATCGAAAGAGAATATACAATAAAGGACCCTGTCGGATTTTGTGACCTAGTTAGAACAAGAACGTACTATATATGTTTTTCTAGAGAATTCAAAGGCACGTCGAATGGTATATAGGAAGTCTAATTTTCGTTGAATTTTCGTGGCCTAAGGGCTCATACACTGGTCACAATTCTATAGAACATAGGAATAATGCAGCTACTATGATGCTCGGTAATAAATACGCAAGTCTTTCCTTTTTTAGACATGATTGGATACAATTTTGATTGCTCTTCGATCTTTTATAATCAATAAGTTTCGATAGAACTATGCTATAGTTACAAGAGGCCACCTTCCATAAGTATAGGCTATTTATTGAGAAAATGACATTTGAGTGTGCTCAGTTCTGTGCTACAGGACAATTGAGCAACAACGTGAAACACTCTCGAAAACTGTGTGCCACTATCCTCTACTTGTTTCATAGATTAGATCTTTTCGATCAGTAGGGGCTGACTGATACCCTTTAAGATAGTGGTGCAACATGCCCTATTTTAGTTAATCATGGCAGAGATATTTTTAAAAAATCTTAGCAATATGCTGAACTGGTAGTAACAAATTTTATGTATAAATAATCAGTGAGGTATGCCTTATAATTTGATATAACTAAGTTCTTTGTAGATTGAAAAAAAAAATTTGACCCGAGGACCCCTGGAGGGGAGTACAGGGAAAAGGCTCTAAGTAATGGTCCTCGCTTTTTCTTCAACTCTTTGATCAATTCCATTCATCACCAAACAGATACTATCTATGGGCGAAACTCTAAAATAATCTGCATAGAGTTTGCGTTCAATGTGAAATAACAGTTTTTTGATATCTCTGTACTGCCCTCCAGGGGTTTGCGGGTTGAAAAATGTTTTTCAATCTACAAAGAACTTAGTTATATCAAATGATGAGGCATGCCTCACTGATTATTTATACATAAAATTTGTTACTACCAGTTCTGCATATTGCTAAGATTTTTTAAAAATATCTCTGCCATGATTAACTAAAATAGGGCATGTTGCACCACTATCTTAAACGGTACCAGACAGCCCCTACTGATTCAAAAGATCTAATCTATGAAATAAGTAGAAACCAACAGCGTGCAGTTTTTAAGAAAGGTTCATGTTGCTGCGCAATTGTCCTGCAGCACAGGACTGAGCGCACTGGAATGTCAGTTTTTCAATAAATAGTCTATATCCATGGAAGGTGGCCTCTCGTAGCTATAGCATGAGTCTAACGAAGCTTATCGATTCTAAAAAATTGAATAGCATTCAAAACTGTATTCAATTATGTCTTAAAAAAGAAATACAGCTATATCTATTACCGAGCATCATAATGACTCCATTATTCCTATGTTCCATAGAATTATGACCAGTATATGAGTCCTTAGGCCATGAAAACTCAACGAAATTAGACTTCCTATATACCATTCGATGCGCCTTCAAATTATCTAGAAAATCATGTACAGGACGTTCTTGATCTAACTAGGTCACAAAATCCGACAGGGACCTTTGTTATTCATGATAATGACCAGTGAAGGCAAGAGAAACCTACTACCGTGATCGATACAAGAGATAGTATTACTGGTGTATGCTAATTCAATCAATTTTATTGACGTTTATTTTCCAGCTTTTACTCACCACGACTAAGTTAAAGGTAGTATGGGTAGACTTCTGAAAGCGTGCTTCGAAAATTGTGAACTTATCTGCTTTGGTTCCATCTGACGGGTTTCCTAAGCACTGAAATACATGTACCAAGGTCCGAAATCATTCAATCATCTGTTTTATTAAAGAATGTACTTTAGAACTACGTTCTTTATTAGAGATCAGCGAGTTCATCAGAAAGAAAAACATTAAAGCATCGTCTGTGTCAACGAATTCTAGATTATCAATGTGAATTAAAAATACTATGAAACTTTATCAATCAAGGTCATCTACTTCTATCTTTCTCTAATCTTCAGTATCTATTAGCGGATATTGACCTCGAAAAAAATTGATGAAACTATAACTGCTAGAATAGTTTCGTAATATAATGAACTGGTACAGAAACATTGTATGTTATCAATAAAGAGCTTTTTATTGTGTTCTATCTTTTCACATACCTTTACTTGGCAGAAAAGCGTTGATGTATTGTACACTGTACAATTGTTGCTGTTATTTAAATACATCAACAACTCGATTCATGTTACAAACATTTTTTCTTTTCTTATTCATACATTTAATTGTCGTTTTTAAATTATTCATCATCGAACAGCTATTATAGAATATGAATGCGGACAAAAATTTGGTCAAAAATGTACTGATTCTCTTCTTTTAAAGATCAAATCAATCGATTATAAATTTCGAAACAAAGTATGGTGAATGTTTCAATTATATTTGTAATGAGTCTCCATAGGTTTTAAGTGCTTCTCAGTGGACAGTAGGCTAATAGAAGAATTTCTTGCGCATGTGGAGTCAAAAGAATTCAAAATAAAATTTATTCTATAAGCCTGAAGGTCAGAGTGTTTGTGTGAGATTGTGTTTCTGATGAGTTTCAAAGCGCATTGAGAGACTATGAAATGCCATTATTGATTTCGAATGAAGATGATAGGATCATTTAGAGTAAAATTAACGGTGTCACGAAATAAAGAAACACAATTTCTCGATGATTTGTGTAAGATTCATAAATATGTTCGAAGAAATTCGTGAAATTAAGCTGAACATAGAATTTCTGAGCCTTCCAAGCATATCTTTAATATGCGAAGTACTAAATTTGATTTTATTGTCCTGAATTTTTAGTTCATTGAACATAGCAAAGTGCAAGACTATGAACTTTAATATTTTACATTCTTGTACGTTTCCTTTGAAGAGTTGACCTTTCCTGATTTTTACCACCTATGTACTACTTTGGAGTAAAATTTTCGACAAAACCATAATCATTTGGTTTTTAGCAACTTGATAGAATTTTTCGTACTGCTTACAGAGAGATGAACAATTAGAAACTGAGTAAAATCAATCATTTA